TGCAGCCTTTCTGAAGTCAACCAAAGTTCTTTACAAACATTTGAAAACCTAGATCAAATGTAAACCATTTGAGTAAACCATTAAAAATAGTGGACACTTGTCCGTCCGTCCGTCCTTTCTGGTGATGCCATAGAGCCCTGGGAACAAGCTTTCAGAAGTATTAGGGCTGTGATATTTCTGCCTGGCCAGAAAGGTGCCCCTTTCATTCACAGGCCAGCGAGTTTCTGTTATCATTACACAAAGACTTAGCAAGAAGCTCTGCAAAATGGAGCAACTGTAGCAATGGCAGGGTTGCCTCCATTGTGTGTGAGAGGAACAGGGCCAACAGGAACACGAATTCAAGTTGTGTGTGTGCATCGTTTTAAGAAGGGGCAGAGGAATGATTTTTGCCTCTGGTATGTCATTTAACCAGCGAAAAGTTGCATGAGCCAGGTGGCTGGCCCTCAACTGGGGTAATGTCATGAGAAGGTTTCCTGGGGTGAGGAGGAGAAGGTGTCCTGACAGCACCGAAGGCCCCCTCCCCCTGCTCCAAAATGCTGTAATTGGGACCCTGGGAACTGGCTGCCTTCCTGCTTTGCACAGTGTTCTTCCAGCCACGCATCAGAGGCCTGTAATCACAGAATCGTAGAACAGTGGGGTTGGAAGGGGTCAGCGGTCCATCGGGTCTCCCCCCCCCCCCCCCGCTGAGTGCAGGACACTAAGTTATATCGTCCTGCTCAGATGACTGTCCGGATTTTTGAATGTCTCCGGCAAGAGAGAGCCCACAGCTTCCCCAGGTTCCACTGTATTGCTCTGACAGTGAGGAAATTCTTCCTGGTGTCTGGTCTAAATCTGGTTTCTAAATGGTTAGAGACATGTCCTGCACTCTTGAATAATCAAGAAGAGATGCTGTCCTTCCTCTTTGTGACAGCCTTTCAGGTACTTGTGGAGGCCTATCGTATCATCCCTCCATCTTCTCTTTCTGAGGCTGAACATGCCCAGTTCTCTGTCTCTCCTCACAGGGCTTTGCCTCCAGTCCGTGATTCATCTTGTGGCCCTCCTCTGTACCCTTTCTAGTGTGTCTGCATCTTTCTTAAATGGTGGTGTCCAGAACTGGACACAGGACTCCAGGAGAGTTCCAGCTAGTGCTGAGTAGAGGGGAACTAGCGCATCTTGTGTTTTGGAAGCGATGCTTCTGTCAAGGCATCCCAAAACAGCATTTGCCCTTTTAGCAGCTGCATCCGATTGTTGGCTCATATTCAGCTTGTGATCCACAAGAACCCAAGAGCCTTCTCCTTTGCACTATTGCTGAGCCAGGTGTTCCCCATCTTGTGCGGGTGCATCTGATTCCTTGTTCCCAAGTGCAGGAGGTGGCTCTTGCTCCTACAGAATTTCATGCTGTGCCTCTCTGCCCAGCGTTCTAGCCTATCGAGATCGCCCCGTATCTTATCTCTGTCTTCCAGGGTGTTTGCTATTCTGCGCAGCTTTGAGTCATCTGTAAATTATTTTTCCTTGTACTTGTTCCTATTTTGCATTCCTACTTCCACTTTCTGCTGGAGCAAGTTACCAGCAACAAATGTTAAGAATTTCTTGGAGGGACTGTGTTCGGTAATGTTTGACTCCCAACATATATCAGGGACATTGAAGACCCACATAATGATGACATTCTGCCTCCTTGAAACACTGGTAATTTGATTTTTGAAAATTGCATCGCTATCTTCTCCTTGAGTGGGTGGATGATAATCAACTCCAGCTATTATGCTCCTATTACTGCTTTTTCTATTTATATCACTCAGTGGGATTATTGGTCTCTTCTTGTTGTTTGTTTCCCATAATCTTCTGAGTTTAGAAGATGTCAGGCACCCAAGCTGGATTGCTCCTGAAAGAAACAAAGGAATTCATGCATTATCAGTCTATAACCAATTATGTACAGTAAAGCAGCTTCAATTAGGAGCTCAGAACCTTAGTGTTAAGAGTACAAAATCCAATTTATGCTGCACAGAAAAAGAGTTTGTGTTATTTTGCATGCATTGGTCAGAAGAAATACCAGCTCCTGTATCTGGTTGAAATTAGATCAAACTTTTCAAAAGTTTCAGCATAGGAAGAAGTGGAAACATGATGGCTATAATACCTTTTCTGAAGTTAGGATTCCTTGCTCATGCCCTTTTCCCCCAATTTTTTTTAAAGATTTTTATTAGGATTTTTAAACTACTACTAAAAACATCAATCATAAAATACATCGGACATACTGGGTCAGCCCCCTACTACATATTTTTTTGCAAACATTCTATAGTCATTATCAAATCCATTTATAACAACTTAAAAACATCTTTAAATCTAAACCAAGTCCCGTTTCTCCAGCCAATAATAAAAAAAATTCCCAAGTTTGATAGAAGTCAGTATCTTCTTTCTCCTTCAGTGATAAAGTTAATCTATCCATTTCTGCACAGGCCAGAATCTTTCTTAGGATCAGTTCGTCAGTGGGTAATTCCTCACTTTTCCAGTGTTGCGCGAATGCAATCCTCGCCGCAGTGATTACATGTAACATCAAATACATTTCTTGTTTGTTAATATCTTCCGGTATAATGCCTAACGGGAAAACTTCAGGTTTAAAAGTTAAAGGTTTTTGTAGCATTTCCTCAAGCCGCCCTTTTCCCCAAATTTTATCCACCCACCATTTGATAAAAATCTATAACTTGATCGGTTATACAAACAGCTTGTTTGGAAGGTGGGAAATGATCAAACTTGAACCGGTTGAGAATCTCTAAACGCCACCTCAATTCTCGTTCCATCTTTGGTCCACGTTGCTTCCATACAGATGGCAAGCTTTGGAAGTTTCTGGAAAGTGCATTTGTCCTCCATATCTTGCAGCATGTTTGCAAGCATTTATCCGAAGGTCTTGCTTTATTGCACATATCCTTCCAGTTAATGCATTTGTAAACACACTTCGCTTTGCTTCACGAATCTTACCGTAAGCTTGGAAATGTACTGCATTTGAGCCTGGGAGGTTGGAGGCATTCTGCTCTAAAACGAACCGGAAAGGATATGACATGCATCTTTGTGAGAGCCACTGAAACTGGCAAAATGTATTGAACAAGGTTTCTTTCATATAAGGTCTGCACATGGCATGTTCTGCTGGCCCTTTGGGGGGCAGAATAAGAAGGGGTTCCCTGAATCCTGTGCTAACTTTTCCCTCGTGCAGGCTCCTGCCTGTAACCCTTTAGCTGCTTGGCTAGTTTTGCTGGTCATCCTAGCTCACCTTCCTCATTCCGCAATAATATCAAGAGAAGGATGCCACCCTGCTCCCAGCTCAGCTGCTGCCAACCCTGCGCTTCCAGATGTGCTGGGCTTCAAGATGCAGGGCCTCCAGAAAGGGTTTGGGGCTTGCAGCTCAACACATCTGGAGAGTGCCATGCTGGGGAAGGTGGCATTGCTGAAATGAAAAGGCGGGGGCCGGTGGGACAACCAGGAGTGAATTTTGCGGGGGCCAGTTTGGTTCTGGTCTTCAGGACAAATTCCTGGGCTCAGAATTCTTTGGTTCTCCATATATTATGTCTCTGGGCAACCGCCATCCCCAAAACTTTTGGGATGTTGGGGGAGAAAAATAGCATTCTAATTTTTGAAGTCACCCAGGATGTTGCAGCTTGGCCACCTTTCCATTTGGCTGTGGACTCTCTCTGGTTTATCTATTATTATTCTGTGCCACCTGACCCAAAGCTCTCCAGGTGGAGTACAACCAAATGTAAAAACACCACATCTGTATGAGTGCTGTCGAATACTCTGGCCTTCCGAAAGGATGTGACACTCTTAGGGGGCCTTTTGGGAGCTGGCAGCAAAGTGATGCATTTGCTTCCTTTTACTGGTTTCCAGGGTGGTGGAATGGACGCAGAATGTCCGGGTTCCAGTCCCCACTCAGCCCTGGAGCCAGCTGGGTGCCCTTGGGCCAGTCACAGACTCTCAGCCCAGCCTACCTCACAGGGTTGTTGTTGCGAGTGCAAATGGAGCTGCGGGAGCTGCCTTGGGTTCCTCACGAGTGGGAAAAGGAGGGCTATATATGCAGTAGAATAATAATAATACATGACACTAGACAGAGGTGAAAAGGGAAGGTAGTTCAGGCTGGGGAGGTGCCCAAGGCAGCCAGGACTCAGCGGAGACAGGGAACTGGGGCATGTTTCCCTCTGTTCCCTCTTTCTCCTGCTGCAGCCTGGTAAGATGCCATCCACACATTCATTCATTCATTCATTCATTCATTCATTTATTTATTTATTTAGGGGACTTCTATGCCGCCCCATTCGCCAAAGCCTCGGGGCGGCTCACAAACCACATGGGGCGCTCTATGGAGTAGGAAGTCTAGGACACTGCCCCAAGGGGCTTACAGTCTTTCTGCTATGTTCCAGCACAGGTTATCTTTAGTATAAGCAAAACACTTTTTAGAATAATGGCTTGCATCACTGCTAGGAACCGGGAAGTAGATACGTGTTTTTTCTTATAGAAGAGAAACTTTCTGGCAGGTCCCTGGTCCTCCGACATCTAGCTTGGGGTTGATGACGGCTGTCCAAGCTTCAGGCTGGACCCAGCCTACTTCCCCTTTATGTTCTCTGCTTATCTTTACTCCCTGGTTTGTGGTTCAGCTACCCCCGTCCTCCAGACCGGCTGGACTACAACTCCCATCAGGCAGATGGGAGCTGGAGTCAACATCTGGAGGGCCCCCCAGATTGGGCACTTCTGGTTTAGAATCTCTTCAGGAGCCTTTTCTAACGTTTTGCCCTCCAGGTATGTTGGACTACAACTCCCAGCATGCCCCAACCAGCTTTGTAGTCCAATGCACCTGGAGGGCACCAGGCTGGGAAAGCTGAGTTGCTTTCCTTTACTCTTCCTGTTTTCAGAGGTATCCTTTAAAAACAAAACAGAAGGAACACCCCATTTTCTGGGTTCGCCCTTGAACTCCCAGAGCTGAACCTGATGCGCTCATTCGAACCCATCACCAGATGGGGTAACCACTGTGCTCTCTGCCCTTCCAGTTCTTCCACTGTCATGGAGTCAGCATCGCCCAAGGATGACTCTTCTTCCGCAAAGAGCACGGAGACGTCGTTCTCCTTTGGCATGGTGGATGTGTTCCTCTTCTCCGTCATCATTGGCCTCCTGTCCTACTGGTTCTTCTTCCGCAAGAAGAAAGAGGAGATCCCAGAATTTGCGAAGATCCAGACACCGGTGGGGTGAGTTGCTTCATGGGCGAGCGAAGAGCAAGGGTTGGAAGGGGCTGCACTCGTCCCTGGGCCAGGGCCCACTCCGGCGGGGCTGGTGAGACCGGGCTGGTTCGGCACCCGCAAGAAGGGTGCGCTTTGAAGTTCCGCACCCCAAGGAGGGGCCAGGGTCCCGCTTCATAAACCACCCCAGCAGTTGCAGCCCCATGGGGCGCCTGTTCCAGCTGTTGCTGGGAAAATCCATTTCTCCTGCGAGGATTACAGATCGGCTGGTGGCGTGGGGAGTGATTTGGAAGTCTGAAGGGGAAGGCAGATGCTTGCAGCGTTCCTGCTGATAAGGCAGACTCGGTGGTGCTGCTTCCTGCGAGCCCCGTTGCTGCTACTTCCGTTGTAGTTGTGCTCTGCGGCCAAGCGTCAGCATTCCAGTGCCGTGGGGGCCACGGGGCGCAGCCGAGCCCTAGGAATTGTCATGCGGCCAGAGAGCGGGTGGCCCTGGGGCCCGGTCAGGCCATGGAACAGTGGTGTGCGCAAGACCTCAGCAGGGCGTGCTGGACAGACCACGGTCCGAAATGAGGGATTTCTAGAAAATGTGGCTGGCAGGTACTGCTGAAACACCTTGGGGTGCGGAGGTGTCACAGGGTTTCCGCAAAGAGGCCAAGAGGACAAAAGGTTCTGGACCTCAAAATAACGGTAGTGATGTTGGTGTTGTGTAGATCTCAAGACTCTACAAAGTCCTGCAAAATTCCTATGCACGAAAGTGCTGATCGCCCCTTGTAAATTCCCAGCTGTGACTTCCCAGCTTCATGGAATTGCTCCGTCTCATAATGGCAGCGGCAGCAACACCTGAGAATGTGGGTGATATGTTGGTTGGAGTCCTGCACTGAGCCCCTGGGGGATCTGGGTTCTAGTCCCCATGACCATGACGCTCCCTGGGGACCTTTGGGCCAGCCACTCTAAGCCTAGCCTACCTCACAGGCTTGTGGAGAGGATACACGGAGTGTGTCTTACTGAGCAAGCCAACCTGAGCTCCTCACAAGAAGAAAAAAGACAGGATGTAAGTGAAGAGTAATAATATTAATGGAAAGCAAAGGGAGGGGGAGGCTTAGTTTTTAATCTAAAGTAATTTTACACTACTCTGGATGGAGCAGTTTACAAATAATCAGTGTACAAGGCAGCCCTGGATTATAGCATGGAAAGAGAAGACATGACACACGAGGAAGAGGACTGGGGAGGGTAGATGAGAAAATGACCGTTTGGCAGGGCTGTGCAAAGGCCCCGCTGCCCTCTCGTTTCGCTTTCTCATCGTCGTCAGTGGTGACCACTGCCAGAATGGTGGAGGTGGCTTGATGCTAAAGGTATAAGGTATCAAAGGTATGCTAAAGGGGTCAGAGGGCGATCTTGAGGTGGGCGAATTCTAGCCAGAGCAGATGCGGCTCTCAGGATCAGAAGCTCGCATCACGCCTGGGGCTGAAGCCCTGCTGTCCCAGCTGCTCCGCCGTGCCTGGCTATAAGTCTCTTAAGTCAAGCGCCCTTAAATCAGGCGCTGAATCTGGATTATTTTACATCATTTTGCTGCCCTCGTGGTGAGACGGCTTGCTCTGTGGTGACATCGCCAAGCCTCGATCTGCTCCATCGATCGTTCAGCCTATGAATTTTGCCCCACCGGTTGCACGCGATGGGGCCGCAGCCCCGTGTTCCTGGTGGGCCCCGGTTTGGGAGGGCTGGATCCGTTTGCCAGGCATGTGACCGGAAAGGGGGTGGTAGAAGTCAGAGCACAGCCAGGTGGCAGAATTGGACAGAGCGGTCGTGGCAGAAATCGTGTCCCCGGTTGCATTCTGGCTGCGTCCTCCTGGTGTGTGGGAATTGGGAATGGGAATTGTAGTCCATGGGAATTGTAGTCCAGTGCATCTGGAGGTCACCAGGTTGGAAGTTAGAGATAGTGCTCCGCGCTGTATCGTTTTCAGGAGGGTACGTGCGGACTGAGTCCTGACTGTCTGACTGTCCCAAAACAGATGCTTTGCGTTGCTTGGGGTCTCCAGTGGGGCCTGTTTTGGTCCCTGCCCTGAGCCACCCCGGATTTTTGCTCTGTGTCTTGAGGTGCCTTCAGCCGGCACATGCAAGGCCCAGCCCTGCTCTCCCGCACCGCCCGGGTTGGGCTTCCACAGCGTCATTCTGCGTTTTGGAGCCAGACCCTCCTTGAGCAAGTCCAGCTCTTGATCTACCCGTCTGCCTTCTAGGAAAGGAGTGGTTTGTGGCGTCCATTTTGTGCATGGGCGCTCCCCTCCCCACGCCAGCCATTTTGTGGCAGTGCCCACGGCATTCCGTCAGGATTCCCACTGTGCCCACTGGCCCAAACTGTCCTTCAGCGGGACTGTTCAGAGGCTGATGGAGTTGGAGTGGGAGGGATATTTCATCGGCTAATGATCAAGTTAATCAAGGACATGTGATAAGTCCTTTCCTTCTTCTCAGCGGTGGCAGGTTTAATAGGCTAATGCAGAACCCCTTACCTGGGGAGGAAGTCCCACTGGTCGCTGCAGGACCAGCTTCCGAATTGATATGTGTGGGATTCCACCTGTACAGATCCTTGAACGATTTCACCTGTCGCTGAAAGTCTCTGTCTAATTTGGCCCTCCCAGTGCACCTGAAGGTGCAGCTCAGCAAAGCCACTGCAGCTTTTGCCCAGTAACAGCTGCAAACTGGATCATCTCGAGTAATTAATCTGCTTTGTGACTTGTCCTTTGTCTGTCCGAGGCTCTGGCTTCTTGGCTGCTGGAAACGGCGCCTCATTTTGCAGACCGATATTCAAGACCATGTAAATCCCAGTAGAAGGTTTATCCCTAGGATGACCTCCTTCCAAAAAGAGGCAACCATGGGGCATTGCCAAAACAGATGGGTCAGAGAAGCATTCGCCTCTCCAGCACCTAACCGACGTAATCAAACCTTTTAGGCTTAGATGGCTGCTAGTCCTCATGGCTACATGCTGTCATTAGTTTTGGAGGCCGTGTGCACACCAGCAACTGAGGGTTGTGGCACTCCTTTCCTGCTTGCAGGTTCCTGTGGAAGGCTGGCCGCCCGCCTGGACCAAAGGGGCCCCAGGTCCTTTCCAGCCCAGCTGACTTCACGTTCTTACATTGAACTCTTATTATCATATGTTGCAATTCATCTTGAAAATTTCATCTTGAAACTCATAGAAACATAGAAACAGAGCAAGTCAGAAGGGGTCTCTCGGGCCATCTAGTCTGACCCCCGGCTCACGACATGCCCACCATGTGCATGTCCAGCCTATCCTTGAACACCCTCACCGATGGGACCTCAACGAACTCTCGTGAAAGCCCATTCCACACCCTCGGGGTCCTAACTGTCAGGAAATACTTCCTGGCATCCAAATTGAACCTTGGTTCCCTGAGCTTTGCTCCGTTGGAGCACGTCCTGCCTTCCTCTGCAGGGGAGAACAGGTCCCTACCCACCTCCATATGACATCCCCTCACATACCTGTATGTCGCCAACATATCCCCTCCGAGTCTTCTCTTCTCCAGGCTGAAGAGACCCAGTTCCCTCAGTCTCGCCTCATTCGGCATCCCCTGCAAACCGGCCACCAACCTTGTGGCCCTACGCTGCACTGACTCCAACCTGGCTATATCCTTCCTGTAATGAGGGGCCCAAAACTGAGCACAAGTCTCCAGTTGCAGGCACATCAGAGTCATATATGGGCCCAATTCAAGTCCGGGCCCAATTCAAGGTGTTGATTATGACCTACAAAGCCCTAAACGGCTTGGGTCCTGGCTACCTGAACGAGCGCTTACGTCCGTATATGCCCAACCGCCCTTTGAGATCTGCGGGAGAGTTCCTTCTCCGGGAACCCTCCATGAAAGAAATTAGGAGAGTAAGTACCCGGAGGAGGGCTTTCTCTGCGGTGGCGCCCAACCTATGGAATTCACTCCCCAAAGAGGTCCGCCTGGCACCGTCGTTACTGGTTTTTCGGCGCCAGGTAAAGACCTTTTTATTTAAACATCATTTCAATTGTTAAAACATATGATCTGGCCAGGGCAACTTCTTCTTCCTTCTCTTTCTCCTCCTATATTTTTATTTTATACTGATAATTTTAATTTTATTTTTGTAAATCAATGTATTCTTTGTATTTTTATATTTAATGGTAATTTATTATGTACTATTGTATTTCAATGTATTTTATCATGTTGTAAGCCGCCCCGAGGTTTCGGCAAGGGGCGGCATAGAAATGCTATAATAATAATAATAATAATAATAATAATAATAATAATAATAATAATAATAATAATATAGAGTGGCAGTAACACCTCTCTCGATCTAGAAGCCACACTTCTGGCTATGCAACCAAGGGTGGCGTTCGCCCTCTTGACCACCGCATCACATGGCTGGCTCATGTTCAGCCTGCAGTCAACCAGCACCCCGAGGTCCCTTTCACAAGCGCTGCTCTCCAGCCGCTTGTCACCTAACCTGTACTTATGACACCCATTCCTATGCCCCAAGTGCAAGACCTTGCACTTATCCACGTTGAACGCCATCTTGTTGTCTCCTGCCCACTTCCACATTCTGTCCAGATCCTGCCCAACCTGCTCCTCAGTTGTGGCCACTGCTTCAGTTTTAGTGTCGTCTGCAAATTTGATCAGCAGACTGTTCACCCCTTCTTCCATGTCGTTAATGAAAAGATTAAACAGGATCGGCCCCAGGACAGAGCCCTGGGGGACCCCGCTTGTCACTGGCCGCCATCCCGATGATTCCCCACTAATGGTTACCCTCTGCTTTTGGTCCGTCAACCATGCCCTAATCCACCGGACAGTGCTTTGGTGTATCCCGAAACTCCTCAGTTTCTCCACCAGGATATCATGGGGCACTTTGTCAAAGGCCTTGCTGAAATCCAGGTATACCACATCCACTGCATCCCCCCCATCTAGCCATCTCGAAACCTTGTCATAGAATCCCACAAGTTTTGTCTGGCAGGACCTGTTTTTGCGGAAGCCGTGTTGTGTGGC